ACTTCTGTAACTACTTTTTGACTCATTGTGTGTGTGTACATACATATATACACCTTCTCCACTTGGAGTCCTGATAGGGCGCTGTGGGCTAATGTGCTGGACTGCAAAGTCATTTGAACCACAAGGTCGGTGGTTCAAGCTCTTGGAAACCCTATACAAAGTCGCTATGGGTAAGAAATGACTTGGTGGCACTAACAACAGTAACTCCTCACTTACCAACTATCTTGTTATCTGACTTTTTGAACTTAAGACAATAGTAAATCTATTTTTCACATTAACAACATATGTCTGGTGGTAAAGAATCTGAGGTATGAGACAGTAGTAATACTGGCTGTGATGGTTAGAGTTACATCTTATCTTGGCTGGACCATGATCCTTTGGTTTGGCAGCAATGTAATGCTATAATTTGACACTAGTGATATAATTTCACAGTTATGTAATGATGTTGTAATTCTCCATTTTGTGATCAGATGTATCATCCTCTATTTGCACATAACACCAATTTTTACATGACAACCTAAGCTTTGGAACCTAAACATGTTGATAAGTGAGTGGGTATATATAGATACATATACATGTTGTTGTTGGTAAGTGCTGTAGAGTCGGTTCGGTTCCGACTCGGACCCTGTATAGGGTTTCCATGGAGTGGCTGGTGGGCTACCAACAGTGCTTACCCTACAGTGCCACACCAGGACTCCAGTTATATACATATATACACATATTTTATATATACATTGTTTGAGTTACATAGAATGGAAAAATATGAGGGGACTTAAAAAAGTTCGTGGAAAATGCAGTATCTTTTTATTGACTTTTCCCATGAACTTTGTGAACTCCCTTATATATATTTAAATCTTGCCTTGTTTACATTGTATTTTCTCAGGTTAAAAGTCATCAAACACATTATTTTGACTAGAACAGTTCATTGAATGTTTATGTTTTCAGGCTAGGTCTCAGAAACGAAATTCTTGGGTCAGAAATGTGAACCTCTTTTAGACTCTTATAATAATACCAGGATGGTAACCTGAAAGTTGACTCCAATTTATTTTCCCAACAAGAACCTTCCTTTCTTTCATATTCCCAGTATAGTAGTATTGATCTCTAAAAATCACAATCCCTAATTTCCTTCCAAATAAGAAGCTCTGGTAGCGTAGTGGTTACGAGTCGGGCTGCTAACCTCAACGTCAGCAGTTTGAAACTACCAGTTGTTCTGCGGGATAAAGATGAAGCTTTCTCCTCCTGTAAAGATTATAGCCTCAGAATCCCTATACAGGATCACTATAAGTAGGAACAGACTCCACGGCACACCACTACCATCACCAATTTCCTAATGCAATCCATCATTTGATGTCTTGACTGCTGTTTCCATGAGTGTTGATTGTGGATCCAAGCAAATGAAGTCTTTGACAACTTCCATCTTTTTCCATTCGATTAATGTGGTGGTTACGAATCGGGCTGCAAACCTCAAGGTCAGCAGTTCGATACTACCAGCTGTTCCATGGTAGAAGATGAGGCTTTCTGCTCCCATAAAGATTTACAGCCTTGGAAACCTAGAGGATCACTATGAGTCGGAACAGAATCCAGGGCACTTAACCACCACCACCACTTACTGGTTCAGTAGCAAGGCAGATTGTATTCCCAGAGAATTGATGTTACAATAATTTAAAATATATAGAAAACTTTTTCAGTCTATCTGCATTAATTTCTGCTTTTATATATATTAGAAAGTTATACAAACTACGTATGTACAAGGGAGCTTCAAAAAGTTTGTGGAACAATTCCATTATCTTTTTTTAAAGTTTTTCTTGTGAATTGAGTGATAGTTTACATGGGAGAACATCAGCTTTCATTTATCCTATAATATTTCGTTTCATTGCAATGATTACAATCCCCTCTATGCATCATCAAACAACCAAAGGGTTGTGCCATCAACACACAGCCCCTCTCCCTCCTGGAGTCCAAAGTCCCCAGCCATTCCATCTTCCCTTGTCATTGTCTCTGCCTTGGCTCCTGGACTGCAAAATCAACCACTCCCCTCGTTTTGTTACAAAACATCTCCATTTACATTTGGAACACTCATGTCAGTCCTGATAGAAACTATTCACTATTGAATCCCAAGAGTCTTATCCCCATCTCCTTTCATCACCCCTCCAGACAAGTTGGAAACCATTCAGTGGAGATTCTACCTTCCCCCACACACTCTGGAACTAGGCTTCTTCTTGAAAGCTTGTAAGCCAGCCACTTCTTGGCTTTGTAGTCCCCCCATTTTGGGTAGCCAATGTCTAAGTTGCCCATCCTTGTCAACCTTGTGTACCAAGGGGCTGGGAATGATCCTTGCTATAAAGATTCGTTCCCTCTTTTGAGCTACTACATCTGTAAGTATAGGTCAGGTTCATCAAATTGTAGCAGATTACTCTTTTCTTTCCCTCTTTTTTCTTCCTCTAGTTGAGTTCTGATCATCCAGCCAGTGAAGCCAGGTCAAGTGGGTACTATCTGCAAGTATGGGTGTTCATGTGCATCTCCCCTTACTTTATATCAGCTGGACGCTTCACTCTTCACTCTAGTCCTCAGTGGCCATGTCCCTGTCCCTGGGACCAGGAGTCCCCAGGTCTTGCCATACTGCTGGCCAACCAGGTCTCAACCCAGGTTGACAGTCTATTGAATGTGGTCAGACATAGCTCACAACTTCATTGATGTTTTCCCCCACTTCCCCTTATTGGCAGACCAACGTGGTCACCAGCAAGACCACATGTGTACTTGTGTATTCCCCTTGAGTCTCAGTCTTGGAAGGGGATCTGTTATCTTTTCATTCAATTTTTCCATGTACTTTTTGAAGCCCCCTCATATATATATCTGTTGGAGTCTTGGAGTCCTGGTGTGGCTCCATAGGCGAATGCATCAGACTGACAAGTTGTTTGAACTGCAAGGTCGGTGGTTCAAGCTCACCAGCTGCTCCTTGGAAACCCTATGCAGTGTTGCTATGGGTCAGACTCTACTCAGCGGCACTTAACAACATATACCTGTTAAGCATTATTCAGGGATTGATAGTTTCTATTCTCTTGGAATTTAAAATATGCACTGGACTGCAAGGTCAGTTTGAACTGCAAGGTCAGTGGTTCAAACTTGCCAGCTGCATTTTGGAAACCCTATACAGGGTCGCTGTGAGTTGGAACCGACTCCACGCATTTAACAACATCCTAGGGATACTTACAATAAAGGTGTAAAGAAAGTAAAATACACTCACATACATACACTATTCACTACCAGTACTTAAGATATATCGTAAGAAACAAACAGTAAACTCAAAAGTTTTTTCCCACGTTAAGAAGAGTACTCATTCTTCTTAAGTCCAGTTGATATGTCATCTAAAAAACAAAAAGCCCTTCATCTTACATTAATCTCTTATCTAATAAACAAAATAATAATAAACTAATGATTGATAGGAGTGGAGATTTATATTTATTGTCAATTTCATTGATTTACCTACCTAACTGCCAGAAATTATTCCCCCCCACATGTATACTGTGTTGGTTTATGATATGTAAGTCATGATGATCCTTATTTTAAGCTTATTATGAACAAGTAATAAGTCTACCTAATTCAGAAATAACACTCTTATTTGGTTTAATTGAAACTGTACTTTGAAAAAGATATGTACATTCCTTTTTGGAGAAGACTGGGGTTGGTGGTAGGACTTCTTGTCATTAAGTGCCGTGAGTTGGTTCCAACTCATAGCAACCCTGTATAGGGTTCCCAAGGAGCAGCTGGTGGGTTTGAACTTCTGACCTTGTTGTCCAGTGTATCCTACAGCTCCAAACCAAAAGTCCGGTGGTAGGGCTGGGGGACTAGAAAAGAAATATTAGAATAAGTAAGAAAAGTCATGGACTGTATAAATCCATTCTAAGACTCTACTGATTTTATACATTTTTATAAACTAAGTCCTGGTGTGGTACTGTGGGTTAATGCGCCAGACTGCAAAACCGGTTGAACTGCAAGGCTGGCAGTTCAAGCTCACCAGCTGCTCCTAGGAAACCCTATAACAGGGTTGGAACCGACTGGATGATACTTAACAACAGCATCTCTTGTGTTTATTCAGCAAATACCTATGGAACACATTCTATAGGAGGCACTGTGTTAGGTAAATTTTGTGTAGAAACAAACTTTAGGGCAACATTTTGTTTCGTGCTTTTTTCTTAAATATTACAGAAGTCTGAAATCAGGGAAGTATTTTATTTTACTTTAATGAAACCTCATCCGATCATTCTATTGGTTTGACTTAATGTGTTTCTATAAATTTCTATTAAAAATCTCCAGAAACCCTATACTGGTTCCTTGAGTCAGAACCAAATCCACAGCACTTAACAATAATCTTAAGTATCCAGAGATTTGCATGGTGTTGTTTACGAAATACCTGTATAGTGCGCTATTTGACACTTTTGTACAGAAAAAAAGGATGAAGTCAGTCTCTGAAAGTAGTTGGGAGGTCCTTACTTTCCAAGTAAAGCTTTAGAATATTTTCTAGGTATGACTTTTTGTTGTTCCTGTTTTAAAGTGGTGCTCTTTAAACAAGTTACACATAGAAGCTTTGAAAAGGCCAAAGTTCAATCGCCACCTTTTTTTTTTTTTTTTTAACAGCTGCGGCACTAACTATTAAATCTCTTCCTGGATGAAAATTTGATTAGTGGCTCTTTTCTAGAGGGGAGACAATTGCAGATTTTTCTTCTGCAGAGCGTGAAATGTGTTGCTTCCTGCAGAGGGGCCGCGTCTTAGGCGCGGCTCGGGGAGCGATTTCCCAGCCTCAGGTGTCTCTCTTGCCGCTGGCAGTGTGCGCTCCGAAGCGGGCGTCCGGGACTTCCTGTCTGGGCGCGGGGCGGAAGGATCGCGTTGCCAGTGGGGCCGCCGCCGCCCCTGCCGTTAGGTGGTGGGGCTTCTCAGCCCGGCGGCGAGAGGCGGGCCGGATTCGGCTTCCTGTTGGAGGACGCGCAAGGATCCGGGCGTCTGAGTGTGTGCGAGTGCGTGAGTGTGGCTGGAGCACGGCGTGTGTCTCGGGCCGCTGGTTCCGCCTCCTTCCCCCTGCCGCCGCTGCTCACGGTGTAAGTCAATGTGAAGCAGCAGCTCCAGCCCCGGGATAAACATGGCGACGTCTCTGCATGAGGGACCCACGAACCAGCTGGATCTGCTCATCCGGGCTGGTAAGGAACGGGGAACTTTTCTCCGGTGCATCGGTGCAGCAGGAGAGGAGGGTGCACAGAAAGCGGGGTGACTCCTCTGTAGCGGTCAGTGCAAAGGGGGTACAGTGTCTACCCCTCAGTCACTGAGCGGCCGGGGGAAAGGGGGGTTGTGAATGAAGTAATGGAGGCGACGAATCAGGAAGTGATCACCTTGGAGAGTAACCTGCCTCGGATCCGGCGCTGTCGCTTCTAGGTGGGTTTGGCGAGCAGCGGAGGCAGCTGCTGAGCTGAGCGCTGGCACTGGGTGCTGGCGAGCAGAGCCACAGATAAGTTGGGGACTCGGGGGCGGACGAGTTGTGCGCTTCACCCCAGTTGCCGAGGAACCAGGAAGTGAGTGAGGCTGTTGTCTTTCGGCTGCGCCTGCCACGCTGTCTGGCCGGAGAGGCCGCTACTGGCCGCGGTCGGGGGCGGCGGGCTTCTGTGAACGCTCGCCACTCCCGCCCGTTCTCCCTTAGGCTTCGTCCACAGATCCATGACTTCCGCATGGACGAGGTCAGATAGACCAGTACCCGCCAAAAAAAAAGGCACTGACCCTTCTCACATCCCCACCTTATGCAGCCTCAAGAGTAACGGTTCTGGAAAGGGTCACTTTAATAATGTTGAGTAACTAGGAATGCTGTTTGTCTCAGGGGCCCGCTTCTACATGTTTAATGGGTGGTTGTGAAGAAATTAGATTTACGCCCCTTCCCTTCTGGATTTTTTTTCCCTCCCTTCCTAAGGGGGAGATAATGGGGAGGGCACGAGATACCTTTTGTACCCCCGATCTAAAGCATTGTGGCATCAGAAAACGTTTATTTTTGTAAACAGTGGGTGAATGTGAAGGAGTGGGGCGGGCGGGAAGGAGTCTTGGCCCTAGGGAAGTCTCAGCACGGAATTGCCCCCTTTTCCCCTCCCCCCCAAACCTCCCACCATAGCGGAAGCGCAGCGGAGAGGACAGAACAGACAGGATTGACAGGCCTCGGGTTCCAATCTGCTCTCTGAGATGTTCCAAATAAGAACGTTGATTTTGGGGGGCGGGACTAAGGGCCGGTGCTGGGCCAATGAAGATTGGGCGGGAGTGAAGCTGACAATGTACGCATGGAATTGGAGGGAAGAGGAGTGTAAACACGGAAGTGGCCGCAGGGGTGGGGGATGTGCAGCGCCTCTGCTGCAGCGGAAGGGCACGGACTTATGTTACATTGAAATAGCTTTACTTAATAGTAGCTTGCGCAGTGAGGGCCCTGAATTGATGAAGCAGTGCTTACACGTTGTTTACTTTTATAATATACACGTTGCTTTCCCTGGATCTCATTTCGCCATTGATGGGAATTGGAAGACCAGAAATGTTGAGCGAACATTAATGCGGAAAATTTTACCCTGTTTTCTATCCATTGTTTTTAGGCAGAGGCGTGTAATTGATAGTTTGGTGACACTCCATGATTCCGATCAGTTGGGAGACAATCAAAATAAGTTATGTGTATGTTTAAGTCTGGGATGATAAAACCTTGTGCATTGTATAACATAACAAGTAATGAAGCCCTTATTTTACAAAATGTAATGCAACACGCGTCAAAGGCCCCAAAGGAGAAAACGCTGAATAGTGATTTAAACCCATGTGTTACTTTTCTGCTTAAAGCAAGAACTTAAGTTTTTAGTGAATAAGAGGCAGAGTACAATGAGAATTGTGTTGAGAATTGTGTGTGAGTGTGTGTATATCCAGTCCATTAATATATCAATTAAGGGATAGAACTTTTGACTTTATATTGCTGGTACTTTGTTGTTGTGTAGTGCCATTGAGTCGGTGACGATTCATAACGAGCCCTGTATAGGGTTTCCAAGGAAGGGCTGGTGAGTTTGAACCGCCGACCTTGTGGTTCAAACCAGGGACCCCTACTGCTGTTATGTGCCGTGGAGTCGATTCCGACTCATAGCGACCCGGTACAGGGTTTCCGATTTTGTAAATCTTTACGGGAGCAGAACGCCTCATCTTTTCTCTTGCGGAACAGCTGGTAGTTTCGAACTGCTAGACCTTGCGGTTCGCAGCCCGATTCGTAACCACTATGCTACCAGATACTGGTGATACTTATAAATAGTTGGGGCAATATTTCCGTGAAACTTGTGCATTCCATGGGATATTGTTTCTAGTGGTTGTGAACATGCTTACAGAACCTTAGAATAGCCCTTGCAGTCTGTTTCGAAAATACTGTAAAAAGTAAAAAGGCTTTTGGAATTACCAATGAAACGGAATGTAAGTTGTAGATATTTTGCTTGAAGTGGGTGGAGAGAGGCAGTTCTCACTTTCAGCGTACAAAAGTTTTATTACTCTTTTGAAAAGAATTGTAGAAAAAGGCAATGCAATTTACTAGCTCTGTTCCATTTGTTTTGTTGTTTGGTGCTGTAGAGTCGTTTCCTATTCATAGCAACGCCTATGCACAAAAATAATTACAAGTAGTTTTCTTTTATGATGGTAATGTTTTTTAAAGAATATATTTTATAGTTGTTTGAAAAGTATTTCCTCACTCATGTTCATCATGTAATCTGAAGCTCCTTTACAAACCCTATTTTAGAGGAAACTTGAGACAGGTTTTCTGATTTACCCAAGGTTAATTCAATGAGTCAAAAGTTTGGGAGAAGGATGGCCCAGAAAATTATGAATCATGTGAGTAATTTCCAATGATTCTGGAAGAGTAAAGTTTGGTGTAAAATTTTTATTTGTTAAATGGACAGAATAATACCTTTACATCCCCTTGTGGGAAGCAGGAAGTAATTGAGACAGATGAAAATCTGTGTAAAATGTAAATGTTAACATAGCTACAGTGATGACTGTAATATGTTAGTGATCAGTTGTTATTACGAAGTGCCATCGAGTCGATTCCTACCCATAGCGACCCTATATAGGGTTTCCGAGGAGCAGCTGGTGAGCTTGAACCACCGACCTTGCAGGTAAAATGGCTTTGCAATCCAGAGCATTAACCCACAGCGCCACACCAGGACTCCATAGTGATCAGTATTGGATGATTAATATTAAGGAATACTTCTAGAGGAGATCAGTTAAATATTGTTAGTATAAGTATTGTTTCCTAGTTGAGTAGGTACCTACTTTTAGTGACCCTATTTGGGTTTCTAGGGAGAGACTGGTGGGTTCGAACTGCTGAGCTTGTGACTAGCAGTATAGTGCTTATCCTACAGTGACACACTCCCCTTCGCCTCCTCGCCCATTTAAGAAATCTAGTTTTATGTATGTGAACTCATTTAGCTAACAAATCAACATTTATGCTGCCATAGGAGTTTGAGTTATTCTAAATAGATTTACTTATTAAAATCACTGTCATTGTAACATACAAAATATTTTTTGTGATAAAGATATTTCATATAACTTTGACAACAAAGGCTTGATTCTGAAATCAGGTGATGTTCTTCATCTAAGCTGTCACTTAAACTAGTTGTATGTTAGTGACTTATCTTTTGGAATTCATTTTGTGTAAGATAGGGTTGACTAGATGATATCTGGTAACCTTTCATGTTCCAAGCTATAAGTGACTCAGAAATAGTTAATAGAAAAGTAAAGATTTCTCTTTATTCTTGGATTCTTTAAATTAGATCATTTGATTCAAATATATCAATAAGGTTGCTGGAGTCCTGGTGTAACACTGTGGGATTAGTGCTGGACTGCTAGCCGCAAGGTTGGTGGTTCAAATACGCCAGCTGCTCCTTAGAAACTGTATACAGGGTCACTATGAATTGGAACTCAATGGTAGTTAACAACATAAGGCTGTTAAATAACTGGGAAATCAGCTTATTTCTTTAGCCAATTAGATCTGTGGCAAATTAGAATTTGAGGTCACTTCTGTATGTTGAATGTCTATGATACAGCTTATTTAATTATTTAGGCTGATTTCTAGAATATTATACGAAGCCCTGGTGGTGAATTGGTTAAAGTGCTTGACTGCTAACCAAAAGGCTGGTGATCCAAACCCACCACTTGTTCAGTGAGAAAAAATTTGTGGCAGTCTACTTCTGTAAAGATTTACAGCCTTGGAAACCCAGGGATACTGAGTGGCAAGAAACAAATTACAATGAGAATTTATTGTTTTGTGCATATTCAGTCTATTACTATTTACAGTACCAATTAAGGGATAGAACTCTTGGCTTTTTTTGCTGATACTTTATTGTTGTAAGCTCAGTCGAGTTGGTTCCGACTCATAGCAAACCCTGTGTAGGGTTCCAGGGAGTGACTGGAGAGTTTGAACCACCGACCTTGTGGTTCAAACTGACCTTGTGGCAGTGGGTTTGCTTTATTTTTTGGGTAGCCTGTGTTGTGCTGTAGTAAATTAAGCACTAGACTGCAAGGTTGGTTTCAATCGCAAGGTCAGTGGTTCAAATTCATCAGCCAGTCCTTGGAAATCCTATTATACAGGGTTGCTATGAGTTGGAACTGACTTGACAGTATTTAACAACAACATTATAGCAAAAATGAATGTCTATACTGTTAGTTTCCTAATATTTATGTGACAGTATGGTCAAGGTTTTCTCAGAGATTTTCGACTTTAGGATATTATGCCTTGTTACGTTCAATTATACTTGCTTGAATTATTTCCTTTTTAAATTTGAGAAATAGTCTCACCAGAAGGTTTGCTTGATGTTAATGCCATTATTAAGTGGAAAGAGGAATTTTCTAGAAATCTAGCCTATTTTCACTGATTAAAAAATGTGCCTAGTTTGTCAAAGTTCATCATAAAGTTTGAACCTGAAAATCTCATTCCTAATTTATTATAAGTTGGTTGGAATGTTGTTATTGTTATGTGCCATCAAGTGGTTCTGACTCATAGTGACCCTGTATAGGGTTTCTGAGGAGCAACTTGTGGGTTTGAACTGCTGATCTTATGGTTAGCATTCCACTGCTTATCCTAGAGAGCAGGGGTGGAGAACATACTACCTGCAGGCCATATATGTTGTTGTTGTTAAGTGCTGTCGAGTTGGTT